TTCCCTGTCTCTTCTGGCCTCTGGTAGCTACTGTTCTTCCTTCTCTGTGGCTGTGTGATTCTGAGTGTCCAGCAGCTTCACATCTCTCGCTCTGACCTGCCCTCTCTTTTTAGCGTGTGTTGTCAGACCTCACCCAAGTCCCTGTTTTAGTAACATGGATGGTTACACTTAGGACCCAGCTGGTTAATCCAGCATAACCTTCTCAGCACAAGATCCTTAACCTAATCACATCTGTGAAGACCTTTATGTTAGTTTGGACATATAAGGTAGTGTACACAGGTCACAGGGATTGCAGTATGGATATTTGGGGCAGGGAGTAGATATTGTCATTTTTTAGCCCATCACTACCAGTGTTGTTGAAACACCTAGAACCAGAGTACAAACTGTGTGGGGATAAATGAAGGGTCTTCTTTCTGTCTCACATGCTCTCCCTGTTCCTCATAGTTACATATGCTTTTGTGCCTGCTGCTCCCTCTGCCTGAGCATTGTCCCTCCCCTCTCTGACCTTTCACTTGTCCTTTCCCACCAGCCTTCAGATCAAGAGCAGTTTCTTTGAAAATGCCTTCGCTCATCCCCAGGGCCAGGCCTGTCTCCACCACATGGCCCAGCCTTGCAGATTTGGAATTTGACATATGTTTTAGTGACTCTCTTGGGGAGGGTGGTGTTCCTGCCTGCTCTGTGTTTCTCATATTTTGTTTTCAATACCCAGCACGGGATAGATATTCAGTAAGAATCTATCCAATGAAGGCTTGACTCCTGCAACTCTTGGCTTCAACTCCTGCAACTATGTGTGTTAGTCAACCTAGGCTGTCATACACTGAGTGACTCAAACAACATAAATTTATTTTCTCATAGTTCTGAAGGTTAGAAGTCTAAGATCTAGGTGCTATCAGGGTTGCTTTCTTTGGGGGGCTTTCTGCCTAGCTTGTGGACAGCTACCTTCTCTCAAAGCCTTTCCTCTGTATGTACCCAGGAGAGGGAGTGGGAAAAGGACAGGCAAAGAGGCAAAGAGGTAAGGGAGGAGGCAGGGGAAGAAGCGGAAAGGAGAAGAGAGAGGAAGGAGGGAGAGAGAGGGAAAGAAACAGGGAAAGGAAAAAGGGAGGCAAGGAAGGGGAGGAAGAAAAAAAAAGGCAATGGATATGTGTGCTCTCCTTGCTGCTGCTGCTGCTTCTCCTTCTTCTTCTTCTTCTTCTTCTTCTTCTTCTTCTTCTTCTTCTTCTTCTTCTTCTTCTTCTTCTTCTTCTTCTTCTTCTTCTCCTCCTCC